GCGCATCCCTCTTTGGAGATTTATAAGTGCCAGGGCCCCCCTTGAGGGACTCCGGGCATGTTCTGCATATCCCATAGGATGTTTTGGTCGTCACCCTGTGTCTCTAGAAGGACGCTACTTATGGGCAACTGTGTGACTATCCTGCCTCCCTTAGGAAACGGATAGAGACCTGGATACTTCCTTTAGGAAATTCCTGGCGCACCCTGTGTCTCCCTGAGGACTCTTCTTTGCGGGCTGCGTCTCCCGAAGGACGCTTCTGGTCGTCGTCCTACCTCTCCCGAAGGACGCTGCTTATGGGCAACTATGTGACTATCCTGCCTCCGTTAGGAAACGGATAGGAACCTGGATACCCTCCCTTAGGAAATTTCTGGCACACCCCGCGTCTCCCTGAGGATGCTTCTTTGCAGGCTGCGTCTCCCAAAGGACGCTTCTGGTCGTCGTCCTGCGTCTCCCGAAGGATGCTGCTTATGGGCAACCGTCTTTTGTTGTGGCACATTCTGGAATTTGCAGTAGTTGCTTCTCTTCTTCAGAAATGTGCAGGGCTCAGTCATTTGCTTGTCGATGAATTGTGAGCCATTGTCGGTAACTTGTGATTATGGGCAGCCAAACCGGCAGATGATGTTTCTCTAGATGAATCGTTCCACAACAGCTTCTTTAGTAGAGGATAGAGCTTCGGCCTCGATCCATTTAGTAAAGTAGTCGGTGGCAACGATCATTATGTCCTTCTTAGTAGGCGCCAGTGGCAATGGACCCACTAGGTCAATGGCCCCACTAGGTCAATGGCTCATTGCATGGATGGCCACGGACTGTTTTGCGGATGGTAGACTTTGGCTGGCAGGTTAGGAATTGGCTTGTATCGCTGGCAGCGATCACATTTCTTGACATATTCGATGGAGTCGTGGCACATGGTAGGCCAGAAGTAGCCTATGTTTAGAGCCTTCTGGGCGAGTGATCTGCCCCCAGAGTGGTTGCCACACTCGCCGTCATGAATCTTGCAAAAAACCTCAAGTGTTTGAGGGTACTTTATGCAGGTGAGATGAGGGCCGGAGTATGATCTGTGAATGAGCTTGTCGCCGTGCATGTAGTATCTCGCGGTCTTCTGCTGGACTTTTCTGGCTTCGGACTTGTCTGTTGGTAGATTTTCATTCATCAAGTAGTCGATGGTGGGGTCTTGCCAGCTGGGGTCCTCGTCAATCTGCATTGCGTCGATTGGCTCTATTTCTTCAATGCTTGGTCGATCAAGGTGTTCAACCGGGATGGAGTGTCTGAATTGGGTATCCAGCGCTGATCCTAGGCTTGCCCGGGCCTTTGCATGCGCGTTCTCTGCCTGAGGCACTTGAGGCTTGATTCGTGATCAAGTGGCAATCTGAGTAGATGGCCAGCTTTTTGATCGCTAACTCCTTTGCCAAGCGCAGGCTAGCGAGCAATGCCTCGTATTCTGCCTCGTTGTTCGAGGCCGGGAAACCAAGCATGATGGCTTGCTCTAATAAGGTTCCATCTGATGTGATGATGATGACGCCTGCTCCCGCTCCTTTGTGGTTCGACGCTCCGTCTACGCGTAATTGCCACATGTCTGTGGGTTGGCCAGGTTCAATGGATGTGCCGTCTGTTTTTTAACTTTCCTTCTTATGGTTCACCAGCTTCTCTTCTTCAGCTGATGAGGTGAATTCTGCCACAAAGTCCGCTAAAGTCTGGGCTTTTATTGCAGTGTTTGGCCGGTAGAGGAGGTCATACTGGCTTAGTTCTATAGCCCACTTCACGAGTCGCTAAGAAGCGTCAGGGCTGTGAAGTATTGATCCCAAAGGAAAGTCGGTCATGACGATGACTTGGTGAGCTTGGTAGTAGGGTCGTAACTTTCTTGCGGAAACTAGAAGGGCCAAAATAAGCTTTTCCAATTTCAGGTAGCGAATCTCTGCATCGAGGAGAGCTTTTGACGTGTAGAATACCGGATGTTGGGCCCCTAGTTCTTCTCGAATGAGAGCTGAGCTAACTGGCTGTCGCGCAAATCTCACGGCCTGGAGTTCCGGGCCGAGGGGATATGCGTTGACACGCGGCTTCCTGCTTTTGGGTGCGGTGCGGTTGTGCGCGGGCGTGCCAGCACGGTCTACCGTGCGTCGAGATGTTGATGAGTGTAGGATGGATAAGTGGTGCGCCTGTTTGAACTTGTCTTCTAATCAAACGATTGTAGCCGAGAGAGGAACTAGTCTCGGCTGTTAAATTCACGGCTTGAACTACAAGGCCGTTGAGTGATGGTGTTGGTGGTGGGTTTTGGGCGGTGCTCCGGCGCGTTGCTCAGGGAGCGACTGGGGTGAGTGAACGAACAACAGGGATGGTGCTCCGGCGCCTTGGAAATCAAGGGTCGTATGATATATTGATGAATGAATTTTCCTTACAGTCTAACACTACTCCTAGGAAAGCAAGTAAAGATATTGAAAGTGCATTACTGGAAAAAATAAGTTGCTCCGTGGGAGGCTTTGGTTTGGTGTTTGAACCCTTTGAATGTAGCTCGAGCCTTGTATGTATAGGAAGAGTTCCTGGAGGAGTAATCGAGGCTGAAAATCTGCATGGTGGAGCCTGATTAGAGCAAGTGGGTAGTCCAATCGACATTTGGGATGGTGAAGCATGGTGTTGTGACCCCATAAATCCCGGTGAATCTCGGCCGCCGCTCTTGATCGTGGGTTCTAAGCTTCTGGCCGTGGAGACGCATTTATGGCCTTGATAGCTGGTGACCTAATATCTCAAGCTGTCAGAATTCTTGTGAGAATGTCTACGTCTAATCACTCTGATCCTCATAACCAAATCCTGACTTCAATCACTTCCCACCTTCCATCGTGCATTAAATGCTTATTTGTGGCCAGTGGGTTTGCTGCATTAAACAGGCACTACTTCATTAAATGAAGCATGGGTCCCTGCTATCACGTGATGATCTGAGTTTAATATTTCTGGCCGCGATTTTGCTCGACCTCGGCCTCGGCCCGCAATCGAGGCCGAGATGAACATGCCTTAGCGTTTTTCTTTTGTCTTCAGGAAGGCAAAGCACCTTGGCGAAACGCTGCGTTTTAGCTTCTCAAGAAAGTGCTAGGGTCGAGAAAAAGGGCTCCTTCGGCCAGTTCATGACCGTGATTTATTAGGCACAAACACTAACGGCCGAGTTGGACACTGCCAGGTACACGAACAAGTCCTCGCCTGGAACTGGTTTTGAGAGCAGGGGAGGTGAAGTGAGGTAAGTCTTCAGATTCTGAGAAGCTACTTTGCACTCCTCATCCCACTTGTCTTTTTGTCCTTTTTTCAAAGCTTTGAAAAATGGTCTGCACTTGTCGGTAGATCTCGAGAGGAATCGGTTGAGGGCTGCTGCTCTGCCCGTCAGACTTTGTATTTCCTTCACTGTGGAAGGTGACTTCATCTCGAGAATGGCCTTGATTTGTCGTGGGTGTGCCTCGATATCTCGTTGCGTGACTAGGTATCCCAAGAATCGGTCGGACGATACACCAAACGTGCATTTACTGGCGTAGCAGATTGAATGCCTCGGTGAGGTTTTCGATGTGATCTGCACATTTGGGGGCTTTGACCAGCATGTCATCCACGTAGACTTCCATAGTTCTGCCAATCTGCTCCTTGAAGATTTTATTTACGAGCCTTCGATAGGTTGCTCCAGCATTCTTCAGGCCAAAAGGCATAACCTTGTAGCAGTAGGTCCCTCTCTAGATGATGAAAGAGGTTTTCGCCTTGTCATCCTCGTGCATCAGGATTTTATTATAGCCCGAGTAGGCGTCCATGAAGCTGAGTGCCGGAGGTGGAATCCACAAGTTGGTCGATTCTCGGCAATGGGAAGTTGTCTTTAGGACATGCCTTGTTGAGGTCAGTGTAATCGACTCAAACTCTACACTTGCATTTTTCTTGTTTTGCCACAAGAACAACGTTGGCCAGCCACTCCGAGTAGGAGACTTCTTCGATGAAGCCGACCACTAGGAGTTTGTCGATCTTGGCTTCAACGACAGCGACTCACTCTGGAGCGAAGTTGCATCTCTTCTGTGCCACTGGCTTGCTGGTAGGGTTGATGTGGAGTCGATGGCAGATGATCTTTGGGTCAATGTCGGGCATGTCAGGTGGCAACCATGCGAATATGTCCTTGTTGTTCTGGAGGAAGGTGGTTAGCTCCACCTTCTCATCTGGGCTTAGGTGCGAGCCGATCTGCGCTTTTCTATGTGGCTGGTCAGGATCCAATGGTATTAGCTCGACGTCCTCTTCGGGTTTCCATTCTTCTTCTGGCGAGATCTCTGGACTAATTTCCTTGGCCTGGCCCTGACCATTTAATTGCTATAAAGGAGCAAGATTCGGTTGTTCAGCTTCCTTCAGATCTGCCTGACTTACAGGGATGAACTGCGTTTGTTTGCTTTTCTTCAGCCCTTGAGCCGAGCATCTTCTCGCCATTACTTGATCGCTGTTGATTTGGCCAACACCGCCACCAGGGATTGGATAGCGGATTTTCTGATGCGTGGTGGAGGTGATGGGGTTGATTTTGCCGATCCATAGTCTACCCAGAATGTCATTATTTGGTGAGACCTCATTGATGAACATGAATGTTTGCGAGCTGATTACAGGTGGGGAGTAGACGTCAAGGTCTATCATGCCCACGGTAACCGTTGTTGCACCATGAAAGCCAGTCAGCGATTTGGCTGTTTTGTTGATCTTTGCTTCCAAGCCCATCTGTTGGATGACAGCCAACTGTAGGATATTGGCTGCACTGCCCTCGTTTGCATGGATTCGGTCGACCATGGCCTGAGCGATTTGAATGCTGATAACAAGGGCGTCGTTATGTGGCTTGTCGAGGCCGATCAGATCTTTCTTCTGGAAGCCGATCACAAGGTCGTCTTCCGCTGGTGGAAGGTCGGTCGATACTTGGGAGATCACAATGGCCTGTTTGATCTCCCTTTTCTTTTCTTTTCTGGTCAGCCTAGACTCCTCGGAGTCGACTAGGATTATGTTAATCCTTATGCCTTCTAAGGTGGCTCCTTGGTGGTGTCGCAATCCTCTATCCGCTGGATGGCTTGCTTCGCAATGAACTCCGTGCAGTGACCTTCTCTCACGAGTTCTTCAAGGTGTGTTTTCCAAGCAAAGCAGTTGTTTGTTGTGTGTCCGTGTGTCTCATGGAAGGCACAGTATTTTCTGATATCCCTCTTGTCTGGATCTCCCTTCAAGGGCGGCGGCCTTCTTACCCAAGGTTTGTCCTTCACTTGGGATAAGATTTGGTGTATGGGGATGGAGAACTTGGTGTAATTCTCTCCTGCCGTAGCGTCCTCTTTTGGGTGCGACCTGCGCTTGTCCTTGTTCCTGTTGCCAAACCCGTTACTCTTTTGGCCTGCCCGCTTGGTTGGTTGATCTTCCTGCTTAGTAGACTTTTTTGTAGCAATTCGATCATCATCCCAGAGCGCATAGCGTTCCGCGGTTGCGAAGACCTCTGCCAGAGTCTGGTTGGGAGCGATAATCAGCTCGCAGTATAAGTCGTGTTCAGCTGGAAGGCCTTTCTTGAAAGCAAAGGACGCGATCCGGTCGTCACATCCTACGATGTTGGCCTTTTCTGCTTTGAATCTCTTGATGTAGTCTCGAAGGGATTCGTTGGACTTCTTGCGTAGGTTGAACAGGTGGTCAGGGTTTTTCTTGATTGTCCGGTAAGACGTGTATTCTTTGACGAAGACGTATGCCAGCTCCTTGAAGCTGTTGATCGACCCAGATGGTAAAGTATGGAACCAGTCTTGGGCTGCTCCTCGCAAGGTCATTGCAAACACCTTGCACATCAGCGCATCGTCAGCCTTGTGGAGGATCATGTCACTTTTGAAGTGTTTTATGTGGCTCTCGGGACATGAGTCCCCTTTGAAGTGTGTAAACGAAGGCGTGGAGAATTGCTTGGGGGTGAAAGGTGTAAAGTTCGCCTGGTCCATCTCCTTACGTAGTGCATCTTCGAAGTTCTCGTCGGTTTTCAAGTCTCGAAGTTGGTCATTCACAAGCTTCTTAACATCTTCTACACGCATTGCTGGTTGGACACGTTGGTGACCCTCGCGATTTGGGCGACGCTGATTGACCTCCTAGTTGATTCGCAAGGTTCGAGCTTCTCGACTGCGTTGCCAAGGCGGCTTGTTGGTGGACTGCGCTTGCGAGTGATTTTCCGTAGCTTGTCGACGAGAATCGGCTCTTCGAGAGTGAGCAGCGGAGCGCCTTTCCTCGCGATCATGACTGTGAGGGTTGTCATGTTGACCTCCCTGGGAGCCTAGCCTTTGAAGAACATTTCCCAGCAGGCCCAGGCGGGCGCGGATGTCAAGTTGTGGACCGAGCCTTTCTCGCACGTTGCTCTGAGTGTGGCTTGCGGATGCTTGTGACATGTTGGCAAGCTGATCACGTTGTTGTCCCTCTCCTTGTCTGCTCATTCCTGCTCGACCTGCTCGGCACCCGTCGAGCTGCTTGTCGGCGTATTCGTCCATCCTTCTCTCTTCTCCCAGTGGTCCAAGGCCAAGGTTTTGAGCCAAATTTATTTGGTTGAGGAGCTGCCTCATCAAATTGCTTTGGTCATCCATTCTCTGAGCTAGCTGGTCAACTCTCAGGTTAAGGTCTGCTTGACTTCGTAGATCGGGAGGAGAGAAGTGTGTGGAGCCCAATTGCATACGGGCTGGGGTTTCAAGGGAGGTGTACGCGGGAGTGTGCGTCGAGCGTGGAGGCAACAAAGGGAACACTTGAAGTTGCTCCAAGATTGGGCCAAAGTCGGCGGTGGTAACGAGCCCACCTTGATGGGAGGTTCCACCATGCTCGGCGGTGGTGCCATGAGGGTGGCTAGATCCGGCCACGGGGCCTTGGGTTGACATGGCGACGTTGAGGTAGCCGTGATAGGAGGTTGCGGGCCTCGCTTTGAAGGACCATGTGTCAGGCTGACCGACGGATCGTGGATCAGGTTGACCGGAGAATCGTTGATCGGGTGGACCAAGGACTCGTAGGTTAGCCACCAACTCATTTGGTATTTTCCTGATCATTAATGATGAATGTAATTAGCGGGCATAATAAAAACATCATTATATGCTCATTGTAATATTACTTGCGCCTTAATAAAATAATAAAATTATTAAATAAGGCATGTTTTATAATTCAAGCAATAAAATATTAATGGTTAATATTTATTAAGAATATACACTAAATCAAAATAAATATCAAATACTAATATTTATTAGGAAAGTGCATTAACTCATAATTGAATATTAAATACTAATATTATAATTGAGAATTATTTAAATTAGGAAATAAATGGATGAGAGGGAACAACGTAGGCGTGGAGCGGTGTCGACGACTCTGGCCAGTTCCGGCTGAAACGTCCGACTGCCCGTCAGCCATTTCTCTGGTGCGAGCTGCATCATTTCTCCGGGTTTGTGCAGATTGGAGGCCGGGGAAATCACTGGTGTTAGCGATGACGCAAGGCAACGCCGGGAAGGTCCCCAACCATGCTGGGTTGTGGCTGTCATCTTCTCCAAAGCTTTGTCAGTGAGGTCCCAGCGTCTGGTCATGGAGTTTTCCGTTAGAGTCTGCAGTTTGGACACCACGAGTGCGATGGTGTTGTCTGTGTGGCCAAGCGATGAACGGAAGTCGTCGACTCGTGAATGGCAGTGGCTGGAGAATTTCTTCGACGCAGCCTGAGCTGCGCGTTGGCAGTCGATGTGAGCTGCTGTGGTTGGAGATTGAAGGTCGGTCTCCTTGCATTATTTTTGGTTTGGTTCCAAAAATAGGTGTCTTCGAATTTGATCAAGGCACCCAAACGGTTTTGAAAGAGAACAAAATTCTCTTTTCTTTGTTTGTTGCATCACGCGGAGAAGAAACAACTTGTTTCTTTGCATAGGACCTTCATGTGGTGACTGCCCATCGCACATCCAACTTTTCTGTTTTTTGTTTTATTTGCTGATTTGGAGATGAGACCAAAAGCATATTTTTGGTATTTTTCGTACCCAAAGCCTTGCATCCAAACTCTGATTTATTTTTGGTGATATTTTTGTCACCGTGTCTTTCTTTAGTCGCGCCAAACGGAGAGGAGATATTCCTCTAGGCTTTGAATCGGTGATGGAATTAATGAATGAAGGGGGAAAAACAGATTTCCCTTAATTTGGATTCGAGAGCATTGCATTGAGTCTATCTCGAATCTCTCAATGAAAGCACCAATTTGTGGGAGCAAATTTCCCCACGAGAATATTCGATTGGAAAGATTCCTCTTTCTTCTTCGCTGCCTCTTTCTCCCTGCAAAATAGAACAAATGAGAGGGCCACACCCGGGGGGTGTTCACCAAAGGCCCTCCGATGCCTAAATTAGTTCAAGAGTTTTGTAAGAAAAACACTAGCTAACTAGGGTACGGAGATATATGTGTTTGTGGTGTAAACTGGGCGGCCGGAGCTTTTTGTAAGAGAGGGGGAGCGAGGAGGCGGCTAGGGTTTTTGAGAGGAAAATTTATGCAGAGTTTTAGTAGTAATTCTGACGTACCTCAACCCTTGTGTGTGGCCATCCTTTTATAGAGGTCTCGGGAGCTAGGGTTTCATAGGAATAATTCCGTAGATGGAATGGAATTATTCCTCCCCAATTTGGCGAGATTTGACTAATTAGGGATTTGATTTATTAGGGATATAAATCGAATCCCTAATTGTGGTAATCAATCAAATCAATACCTAATTTAATTAGGTAACTCTTCCTTTAATTGAGAATCGTTGTAGAAATCAAATCAATCTTCAACCTAATTAGGTAACATTCCATTTAATTGGGTAATCCCCAATTAAATTGAGTAACTCCCAATTAGGGGAGCGGATCCGCTGTCCCCAAACCCTCCATGTCCCCTCTCTAATTTGCTGACACCTGTCAACTAACATAACAGGGAGTTAACTCTGTTAACTTTTTTATTTGACAATTTTAACAATTAAAAAAAATTAAAAGCTGCCCAAATAACCCAGCAGCCAACGACTTCCTTGCTAAACCCAGCGAGCGTCTGTCTTCTCTTCTCCAATTGCAGCCAACCCAGCAGCCAACGAGCGTTGTCTTCCTTGCTAAACCCAGCGAGCGTCGTCTTCTCCTCTTCTCCAATTGCAGCCAGCGAGCGTTGTCTTCCTTGCAAAACCTAGCCATACCCACTCTCCTCCCTCATAATCTCTGCATCTTCTCCACCATCAACTCTCAAACGCTTGCAAAACCCAATTCTCCTCCCTCCTAATCTCTGTTTGGAAATTGCAGCACCATTAAACCAATCTATTATACCTTTTGTTGAAGCGTGGATGGAGGTGAGCAAAGCGCTGTGTATTGGAAACTTATATAATATTTGTTCAATTTTCTTTGTTAGGTTTTATCTTCATGATATGTTTGATTTCATATTCATAGTAATCACTGAAGGACTCAAAACTATGGTGACTAATCTTATTGGGGAGTCTTTGAGAATATGGCTTCCTTGTAGAAGTACACATGCTTTGTAGGTGGGAATTATGCTGATGCTTTCGTATATAACATGGGGGTGTGGTGTGGTGTCGTACTTAACGTGCCTATGAATCTGACTGACTGGCCATATTTGTCCCACTAAAACCAACTGTATATGTATCGTTTGTTCCATGATTACTTACATGTCCAAATTTCAATATATATGTCAACTAACATAACAGGGAGTTAACTCTGTTAACTTTTTTATTTGACAATTTTAACAATTAAAAAAAATTAAAAGCTGCCCAAATAACCCAGCAGCCAACGACTTCCTTGCTAAACCCAGCGAGCGTCTGTCTTCTCTTCTCCAATTGCAGCCAACCCAGCAGCCAGCGAGCGTCGTCTTCCTTGCTAAACCCAGCGAGCGTCGTCTTCTCCTCTTCTCCAATTGCAGCCAGCGAGCGTTGTCTTCCTTGCAAAACCTAGCCATACCCACTCTCCTCCCTCATAATCTCTGCATCTTCTCCACCATCAACTCTCAAACGCTTGCAAAACCCAATTCTCCTCCCTCCTAATCTCTGTTTGGAAATTGCAGCACCATTAAACCAATCTATTATACCTTTTGTTGAAGCGTGGATGGAGGTGAGCAAAGCGCTGTGTATTGGAAACTTATATAATATTTGTTCAATTTTCTTTGTTAGGTTTTATCTTCATGATATGTTTGATTTCATATTCATAGTAATCACTGAAGGACTCAAAACTATGGTGACTAATCTTATTGGGGAGTCTTTGAGAATATGGCTTCCTTGTAGAAGTACACATGCTTTGTAGGTGGGAATTATGCTGATGCTTTCGTATATAACATGGGGGTGTGGTGTGGTGTCGTACTTAACGTGCCTATGAATCTGACTGACTGGCCATATTTGTCCCACTAAAACCAACTGTATATGTATCGTTTGTTCCATGATTACTTACATGTCCAAATTTCAATATATATATAGGTTGCAGTAGCTATTTTGATCTAGCCATACCCACTCTCCTCCCTCATAGGAATCAACCTTTTGATTTCATAGGAATCAAACCCAGTCATATATAGTAATCAATCCCTGTCTCGATTAAATTAATTGTTATTTTATTATTATTGTTTTATATATAGAAATTTAAATCTTATAAATTACGTGTTGCCAATTTTCTCAAGGACATGAACGGGGAAAATAATTACAGAGACGATGATGGAACTCAAGCAAGTCCGAAGCTAATTTTTGAAACAGGTGTGGACTTCAATGCTTTTGCAGACAGTGAAAGTAATGAAGAAAAGTTATCAGAAACTACACAAGGTAACGAAAACATAGAGTTGATTCATTCTAACATGCAGAAAAAACTAATTCCTATAACAGGCATGGAGTTTGAAACAGAAGAAGAAGCCTTTAAATTTTACAATGCATATGCATATGGTGTTGGTTTTAGTATTAGACGAAGTAAATTTCATAAAGAGAAATGTGGGAAGTTGAGAGACAGACTTTTTGTTTGCTCTGCTGAAGGTAAGCGTGAAAAGAATAAGTGTGATGGCAGTGTGAAATCTCATCGTGCTGAGACAAGATTTGGATGT